GATTCACGCGTTTTCCGCCCGAGGGGAGGGAGTGAGCATGGCTTTGCTGCCTAAAGCACTGGGACACGAAATAAGGCGGTGTTGAAGTGTACTCTTCTAAGTGGTGCTAGTTTTTCTGAGAGTTAGCCCTGTTTGTCTTTGTTCGGTGAACAGAATAATCAAATCTCCCCCCCTCCCCCCCATTTTCTCGTCCGAGTTGAATACCTTTAGTTTTGTTAAGTTTTTGGAAATCACAAAATAAAAGCTTTAATCAAACTCATGTCTTGATATGCACCAAGAGAGGATATTTCACATCAGCTTTCTTGTGTTTTTCAGTTCACATTTTGGCAATGAATGCAAGCTTTTAAACTTCTTTTTGTGCCTAAATTCCAATACTGGAAGTCGTTATCTACAGTCTAATCTTCTTGATGTCTGGCTCCTTTTAAGTAGATATGAAAAGCAGGCTTTCTTGCATGTGGGCAGTGAAATGTGCATGCCAATGTACTATATAAACCACTTGAACAAACTGGAGTTCATGGGGTTGAAGATAAGCTATCTTCCCAAATCAACAGTGTTTACTTACTAGACTAAAAAAAAGTAGCTTCCTTGTTTCTCCCCCTGGAACAGCAGTGGCAAACTCTATACAAACTATTTTTTGTTGCTTGGTGAGTTCATACAGGCCAGTACTTCAGCCTCCAAATTACATTACTCTCTCTTATGCATTTACAGCCAACAGACCTGGAAGAAAGACTTTGTCTTGGAGCTAACTCCTGAGCACTTTGAGGTCATTCATCATGAAGTATGTAGTAGAGGAATGGCTCAGAGTAACTACCTTGCTATTCATAGCTCAAGCAGTTTCTGCAATGGTTCTTCCCAATGCCACGCTCTTAGAGGAACTTTTGGAAAAGTACATGGATGAAGATGGTGAGTGGTGGATCGCCAAGCAGAGAGGGAAAAGGGCTATCACAGACAGTGATATGCAAAGTATCTTGGATCTTCATAATAAATTACGGGGTCAGGTGTATCCACCAGCTTCCAATATGGAATATATGGTAAGGAAAAACTGATAGCGACATGCAGAAAGAAATGTTCTTAGAATGGTTACTGTCATGTTGTAAAACAGCATGCTTGCAGTCTTAGCTTGTTTGTTTTTTTCACTTGTTAGTCATTTGTCTTTCTCTTGTACAGGGGTGAACTGTGACATAAAAATGCATGTTAGTGGGTGAAGTGTCATGTTTTACTGATACTAATGGGTTTAATCTCTCATAGCTCTCCTGAATTTAAGTGGCAGTTTGTCGGTGCTAGAGGCCAGTTTCTGAAACTGCATTACTCAGTGGAGTTGATCATGGCCTAAGTAGTTACCATTTAAGAAGAGTACTGAATTATGAAGTTTCAAAATAACATGAATTCTCTCCCATGCTTCTAGGTTGGATGGAATTTCTGGGCAAAATGAGGTTCCTATGACAAGAAAGTCTTCTATTTAATTTGGCATGTGTTGCTGGACTGGAGTCCTGCATGTTCCTGTGTTTAACAGATTAATAATGTAATGCATAATTGCCGTTTGTATTTTTCCCTTGAGAATCCTCCATATCTGGGTTTTTATTAGTAGACTTAAATCTCTTATGGTTCTGAGCCTTGATTTTATACCATAGTTCAAGGCTAACTATCTCTCCTTGCTAATTAGATCAGATCAGGTCAGCAGAGCAATTAAGAAGTCCAGACGTCTGACAAGAATGGGCAACTTTTCTTCTCTATTCTTGTTTCTGCCAAAAAGCTCAAATATTTTTCCTGTGTCCACACTGAGTATTACTTGTTCATCTGTCCAGGCATAAAAAAAATAACATTACTATAAGTTGGGTTGTCTATATCAAATATTACACAGGTTTCCTAATACTTTCCATTGTGGGGTTGTCACAGAGAATCATCTTAACACATTTCAAGATGTAGGTGTCTTTCGCAGCTTGAAATGATGTCTCTCAGCTTGGAGTTTTGATTGAACTGAGCGTGTATGTGTCTTGGAGAAAACATGCTTGCTTAAACCATCAATAAAGGTAGTTTAACTTAAAATTAGCTATATGAGTGTTACTTCATTAGACTAAGAGCCATCAGAGAATTAGATACCACATTTTGTCTCCAAAGGGATGATACTATCTGAACCCCCTTTAACCCTTTCAGTTACAATTGTCTGCACATATCCCTAAACTTTGTTTTCTGTTGTGACTTCTTCAGATGTTGTTATAATACAATTTACCGCTTTGTTCCCAGTAACTCAGGTTGATTTATTTCTGTGAAACTTAAGAAAAAGCTGTCCAGCCTTTTTGTAAAATGAGAATAGGGAAGACTGTATTGCTTTCTCATGTTAAAATGCTTTTTTCCTGAGATTCTGTGAAAAGATAGTTTTGATTTTTAGTTACGTGCTTTCCTCCATTCCTAACTCCCTTCTGCATATGCCTGTGTTATATATCTTGGAAGGAAGAATGTGGATGTACTCATTGGAGTTAGACTTTTGCCAGCTGTTTTCTTCAAAGATTCCTTCTGCACTGCGCACTCACTGGCCAGCACTTTGTGTTAGGTCTGCATTTGTTGTTGTTTTTGTTTTTTTTCTGTGCTCCCAAATGACCTTTGACCCAGAGTACAAGTAGCATGGAAAAGAGATTACCAAATGTTGAGGAGATATTCTTATGTCCCGTTATTCAGAATGGGACAGCAGCTTTCAAGAGAGTGAGATTTGATTTTGGTATTATAGCCGAGGGAATTGGGGATTGACAAGGGCAAGAGCTGGGGACTTGTGGATGCAGTGGGTCTGGTCAAAGGAATGGATGAGTGCTCAGGGACAGGGACCCATGAGAAGGGCATGGAGAGAGGCTGAGAGTCTGGCTAGGAAGGTGTTGAGAAATCAGTGGTATGGAGGGATAGAACATAGGATAAATAGAGGTGGTTAGGTGAAGAACTGTGATTCCCAGGGCAGGTAAAAACTTGGAGCAGGAGCTTGTGGAGGGAGGTTAAGAGTACAGAAATTTTCCAAGAGGGTGTTTAAAAAGAGTAAGCCTGGGAGGGAGTGAGAAGGGAGATTGTGCCTGCAGGAAGCAGGCGGGAGTCTGTGTTGGGATCCGAGAGGATGGTTTAGGAGACAGTGGGAGCCCTCCGCTGCTTGAGCAGAAGGAGGAAGTGATGTGATTGCTGTTTATCTGCACTTGCATTTTTAAGATACAGTTTATGATTGTGTGATTGTCCATTTTCTTTTCTATATGAGGTGTCATAATGGAATGAGTGCTGGTTTATTGTTTAGTAAGAGTGAAATTTGAGTACAAAATTGTGTATTTGGTGTAGACCCACAGATTGGCTATCAGAGAAGGAGCAAGAAATGACAGCTCATTAATGAAGCATGATTTGTTTTATGTAGAGATTCCTCTGGAAAAACTAATATCTGGTCATTAGCATAGTGCATATATACAAGAAATAAATTCTAGAGGCAAACTCCATTCTAGCATTTCATGACTTCTAACAGATACAGCTGTATAACTATTACTGCTACTTTTTGGTCCATAATTAAAACAAATGCCTGCTTTGACACTTAATAGTCACATAATTTTTCTAGATACATATTGATAACAGGATGAAAAAGTTCCACTTTTCCACATAAAGAAATAAGCACTCTTAGATCTAGTTTTCCAAGAGTATGTGACCTCTTGATTGGTTTTGTGAATGACAGAAAGTTCGAACACTCAAGTATTCATAGAATTAAAACTACACTTGACTGGTTTTTGTAAGAAAAGTTAATAATGCTTGCAATGCATTGGATCTTACCGAAAGTAAGTTCCAGTGCTCCAGAATAGGGAAACAATCCCTCTAAATGTTGCGGGATGTTCAGTGAACTAGATATGTGCAGCTGAAATATTTTTGTCTACTTTTGGGGTGCTTTTATTAGTATAGACATTCTGGCAAAAAAAAGTCTCTTGCTTATGGGCACAGCCCTATCACTGTAAGCTGCCCATTGTACTGGTAAAACCTTTCCTTTCTGTTTGTGGAAGGGAAGTTTTACATCTTACTGAATCCAAATGGAGGTGATCAAGGTCCAGGTGCCTCAGTGGTGCACCTGTCTCACTAGAAGACTATTGTATAATTGAGGAGTTTAAGATGTCCAAGAGTGCTTGGAGCTGGAGGAAGGTGTGTTGAAGCTGCATGATCTCATTGCATTGTTAGTGTGTAACAGCTAAACTGACCTAACAGGCAGCTCTGGCTGAAATGCCTCTGTCCTGCTCCTAATGCTGGCATGTATTTGAGTTGATGAAGAGACTGATCCAAGTATCATAGAATCATAGGGGCCAGTTAGCTCAGTCAGTTGAGCGTGGCGCTAACAAAGCCAAGGTCGCCGGTTCGATTCTTGTTCGGTCCTCATGTGTTGCCTGATCTAGTCGAGAGGTGGTGTCCCTGGTGACAGGGAGGCTGGATTAAAATGATCACTAAGGTCGCGCCCAGGCCATTCTGTGATTCTGTGAATATCATAGAATGGGTTAGGCTGGAAGGGACCTTAGAGATCATTTAATCCAAGCTCCCTGTCATGGGCAGGGACGACTCAGATTTTTTAAATTTAATTTTTCAGGTTTTTTTTCCAGACTGAGTCATGAAACTGGCTCCCTACAAGGCTGAATCAGATGAGTACCAGTGGTGATAAAAGACAGTGGGAATGCATAGCTAAGGAGTGGGAGGGATGAAGAACCACACTTCGGGTAGGAGCTATTGCTTATATGCCTTACTTGCAACATCCAGCCTTAACTCTGAGAGAACAGCAGGGCTAATTACACATTTTGATTTTAAGTTGTGCAGGGGAGAAAAGCTTTTGAGGATGGTCTCCAGCATGTAAGATCCTGGTTCTATTTTAAAAAAATGGACAACAAAATGATTGAGTTACTTTTTTTCTGTACAGCTGTATGCTCTCGCCTTATCCTTGGAAAAGAAAAAGGGTACTGGGCTATCACAGTTCAGAGACCTAAAGTTACTGGCTGTGGTGAGATTCGCTGTAGATATGTCTAATGAACAAAATGTTCTCATGGTTGTCTGGCTGAACTTGTCGGATTAAAAGTTCATCTTCCCAAATACTGTGGCTCTGGCAGTGAGCAGTAATGGATTCCTAGGGTAAGAGGAAAAGAATAGAGCATGTGAACAGAGAAACTTCTTCAATGAAACCCCCAAACTTCCAGCAAGCAGCAGCTTAGGGACTTCTTACATTTGTTGTGCTTTTTGTGTCTAGTAGTTTTCGACAGAATTTTCTTTAATGAATCTGAATGCTTTTGGGTCCATGTCTATTCTTTGAATCTTTGGCATCAAGGTGTAGAACTCTTTAAATTTAATTATGCACTGTGTGAAAAAGTACCTTTTTTGCTTTAAAATATGTTCCTTTATTTGATGCCATGTTTTCTTTATGGTGAGAAATAACAAATTTGTGCGTGTTCACAGCTTTTTCAGCTGAAGAGTTCTACTCCCCTTACTTGAAAACTGCTCTATCTGAAAAGCTGTTCCATTTTGTTTTCTTTCTCTTCTGCTATGGTTCTACTGTTATGCTTTCAATTCAAAGGGAACAAAGCAAACTTTTGATAGTTAAAGCATACTGCAAATTGATATAATTGTATTTTTTCTTTTTTTTTTTTTGCTTTTTGACTGTGGCCAAATTAAAGCCAACATTTTCATAAAGCTAATCACAATGACTCCGAGATCTTTCCAATGTGGTAAGAGATTGTTTACTACTTTACAGTGTATGTATAGTCGGCTGAAATCTCCAGCAGCATCCTTGTTATTTTGCATGTGTTCACACTGAATGCTATCCATCGTTTTGTGTTTCAATCAATTAATGAGTCTCCTGTCTCTGGACTTTATCTTCCCATCTTATTTTTGACTACCTTAAGTATTTTATACCATTGTTCATTCCCTTTTCTTGGGCCGTTGTGGAGAAGGTATACAGCAGAGGACAATGAACAAATCTTGCAGGGCATTTGAAAAATTATTTCACATTCTTAAATCTGTTTTTTATCTTTTTATCACTTTATCTCATGAT